ATAAATAAAAAAACATGGGTTATGAACTGTAGGTAAGGAATTTGCATTTCGCACCTTCATAACAGAAACGTCACCGAAACGGATACTATATTATTATCATCTATTGTTGTTGACTATTGTTTTATTATATAATAGGAAACTCAAAACCATAAAATATAAGTTAAGATTACCATGAAAAACCCATTGCAAGAATCTATAAATTCGACCTTAATTAGCATTACTGAAATCATTAGCAGCATACTCTAATCAATTTGTACCTATAATATTTCCTTAAGTCTGATTTCCCTATTTTTACTAAAAACATGAGCATTTTGAAAAAAAAAGTACAGCTTTTTGTGACAATGACACTTTAAAAGTTACGAAAATAGAAGAAAAATCATGACCCTTCGGCATTACGCCCCAATTACCAAGGACCCCGGAAGCTTAAATGAAAGAATCTTGGGTAAGTCATTAAAATAAGACGGAAGCATCATCGTCACCTCGTTCTTCCCCGTACTATATAATAACTCAACGTTGGAACACATTAATAATCCCGGTTAAAGAATTTTGCATAGGGACATTTTCGCCTTCACCGGGAAGGGTCGACACAAGGCGGGCGTAATGAATTAAATTAGGTCCCACTGATAACCTCTCCGCACAATCTCGGAGGCTTGGGACCAAACAAAGATCTAAAATCATCATGGAAGTAGTTTTTTTTTTGTTATAATTCGATTAGTCTGTCTTTTAATGCTTTTGGTGCACTTGTATAGGTATAAGGATCTTTATGGTCTTGTTGTTAATACAGAAAACTTTGCCGCTTGAACCTCATTTCACTGGTAGAGATTTAGACTCGTATTATAGAAAGATTCTCAGTGATTGATCTAGCCTTGAGCATAGTTAAAAGGGGATGTTGCTGTATTATAGCACATAGCGATATCCCTTTCTAATTATACTCAAGTAAAGATCAACACTTAGTTGTCATTCTGTTATCTGGGCCTTGGACGACCGCTTGAGGAAGCATCAGACTATAATGAAAAATAATAATACCTTGCGGTGTTGTTTGACAGTTTGTAGGAGACAGCTTAAGCTGGATTGAACTGATACTACTCGATTATCCATATTTTGTTCATGATATTTTCAATCATAATTTTTTTCATTCATTCACTATCGCATTTTCCATGATTTCTGCAAGATTTGCGGTGATAACTGTTCGCATTCCTGTCGAATGACAAGGACTTAAGGGCTGCGATTGTCTGAGGTTCTAGATTTCAAATAGACCCAAAGAAAGAAGTCTACGGCGGTTAAATCGAGAGATCTTGCTGACCATGTCAAATAGACAAAATAAAATCGTGTTGTGTGTGTTATTGGAACCTCACATGTTCACGCTCCTAAGGAGTATCGTGCTTCATTGCTTGTCTGTCTGTAATATGTATTTGATTTGATTATAAATGTCAAATATCAGAGTCAAGTTACACACGACACCCAAAGTTCGCGAGGTTTTTGTTCTAAACTAGTGGCTTCTAAGTGGTTACCGCGTTCGGTCTGCGATTGTCGACTTTCTCCATGGCCGGTCATCGTATAGTGACCAAACATTTATTATCTCCTGATCCTCCTATCCTTCGTGCTTCAGAAAGCACGTTATGCCATTGGTCGTTGTGGCATCAACAGTCGTTAGCACCCACCAATCCACTCTTGGTGGTTCATGACGAAATCTCTCTAATCAATGGCCTGGGGAAGTCCTGTGGCCTTCCCTAGGCCAATCCCCATCAGCAGTGGGGACATAATTAAGCTGCTGATTACTGTCGCAAAACAAAAGTGAGCTTATTTCATCAGTGGTACTATCTTGTGATTGTGTTATACAAAATAGTAGAGCACTCCAGTCATAAGCAAATAATCACAACAGTAGCGCATTAGAGTGTTAAACGGTCTAACTGTTGTGATTTCTTCGCTTGTTTGGAAAGCATATCTAGAGAATAATTTATGGCCGCGTAGGGGACAAGACCTTGCTAATGTCAAGTGGTCCGAAGCCCAAGAGTTATGTGCATAACGCCTGCTCTGTGATTTATCTCGTTTGAGATCCTGCCCACATACATATGTATGGATACATACATTTCAACGCTTTTTGACCGCTATTGAAGAGGGCCCCGTTTCATTTTCAGGATTTATGTGAAACTTTTGATTTTGTTTCCAGGTTGTGGGCTCTAGGGAGTCATGAATTTGTCCTTGGCGCCCACGATAAACATTAATCAAATAATTTAGTGACAGGGCTTTATCTAAGTCAAGTTTTAATTAGGTCCTCTACAAAATTGTACGACTTGTGAATCCAAGGGGTTTGTGTATCATTATAAAAAGATCCTGTGACCTTCAGAAAATCATCTTCTTCTACCATAGGGTAACAATGACATGGGGAAAGCATTATGAAAGGACACACATTGACCATTACAGTTATGATGAATTTTATCTTTCTACATTCGATTTGAAGATACGAGTGAAAAAGAATATCGGCAGAATTCTTGATTTGGAACACAATTTCTCACTGGTAGGCACTGGAACTGGTAGTAAAATTTTATTTTCAGTTTCTTTAGCACCTTTATTCTTTATTTCTTTCTACACATATTTATAGTTTCGACATGTCCGTCTGTCTGCCCGTCCCCGGTTTTGCTTGGAGACTGTTAGCACTAGAGAGCTGTAATGTTGTGGAGATATGTACTCGTATATTAATCATGCCGCAAAATGGTAGAATAAAATTTTGTTAAATATTTTTTTAGGGTAGCTCCCCTACATGTAACCTGGTGATGATTTTATTTTTTCATCGTCTACCCCATCGTATGGGATATTGGATTTTTGTATTGGATTTAATAGGTCCTTTAAATTACTTAAGGGTTTCTAAGACTTTTTTTCCGATTAAAGGATCCCTTTGCGAAATATTGAACATGAAAGTGCTAATTTTTGTTCGTGTAAGGCTTCCCCCCACCCCTCCTAGAGCTAAATTATTGGGTTGAATAACCTGGAAAATTCATGACAATAGTGCTTTTCATGAACTTTTAAGAAAAATTATAACGGTTAAAATAGATTTGTTAGTTTATGAGTAATAGTCGTTAAACTTATATATTAGAAAATTTCTGCCCTGATAAAAATTCCTTTGAAGAAAACATTAAAAGTGACTTAGACGAAGTAGTTGCTTAAAGTATACTCTTTCCAAAATATATTGTGATGATGACGAGCAACTACGGAACCCTACACCGCGTGGCACGACACGCACTTGGTCGGGTTTTTTTTTATATTTTTCTTTTACGTTATAAGGTTTAATTATATGAGTGCGGCAGGGGGTCCAGAGAAATAAAATACCTACTATAAAATAAAATACTGACTCGTATATTATTTTATATTTAAAGTAATTGATTCTTGTTTCTTTTTTGCATTTATTGAATGATTTTATTATACCATACCCGGGACAAACCGGATCATCGATTTTTTTTTAATTCACGACATTTATTTTGAATAATTTCAATAAAAAAAATATCGGTTACCTATTGTCTAGTTTACTTTAGATTTACAATTTTACACGTATTAGTTACTTAGGTACATATATTATTCTCAAGTAAAAGCACACTCACCTTTTCATTCCGTTTAGCTATAGCACGATATAAGGATATAAGTACCTAACTACTGCGGTAAAGTTTGTAAATAGCAAACATTAATAGCCAGGTGAATGGCAAACATAACACAGATTATAGAATAAACAAAACGACCACCTTCATCGCTATCAATATTGTTTCTTAGTAGACAAAATATTTCAATCGATTTTGTGTTGCGTTGTTAGAATTTCTTCTATTTATTTCAACTGTTATTGCATGAATGAGTTAAACTGCTAATACATAATTCATTTCAGTACCTACAAGTGGAGAGTCTAAAAGCTTTAAAGATCGATCGTCAGATTGATATGCAAATCGTTGCCCCACGCCATCGTAAAGCAATAATGAAACAGAAACTGCTAAAATAAGCTGCATTTGACCTTTTGTTTTGTATTTTAATATGACTCCCCTTTGATCACCTTTACCCCTTTGAAACAAAATTGACAGAATTGCGTATGGTCCGAGTATTCTAAATGCAATATTAAGCTAGATATTAAAGATTAAAACCGTTTTTTATTTTGTCTGAAATTTAATTGATGTGGTCAATGCCATCTAGCGGCGAGCAGATGCATTTTATGCATACTAATACAAAAGGGTTTTGTAGTGCTTGAAATAAGCTTTAAAATGAGCACTATTAAAAGTCTTTTGCACGTAAAATAAGTGAGCTGTATTGCAAATAAGGGGAGCATCTAATGTTTTTTCTTTTAAATAAATGGGTTTCATAAGTGCCATTTCCACCAAAATTAAAATTAATCGTATTCCGCCTAGAATTAACTTTATTATAAAGAGTTTGATAGATAGTATCAGTTTGGCTGCTTCAGGACACATATTTTTCAAAAAAATCACGATTAAAAACAAAAACAAAATTTCAAATTTTTATAAAACCCACTTTTTTCATAATATCTCAAAAATGACGACAGATAAGTATAAAAGTGTGCGGATTAAAAATTTAGGTATTTTTCTAATAAACAATTTGGTTTTTTTTGTTTTTTCTGACAAACAAAAATTGACGGAGATATGATTGTTTAAAGAGCGCGTGGCAGCGCAATCACAGCCTCTCTTAAGCCATTTAACCCTTCACCGTTTTAGAAAAAGGTTTTTTACTATATATTGCAATAAAGGATGTTGTAGCTCTCTTAATTACCTTTACAATGGTTTTTTATAAATTGTGATAGCATGAAAATTGAAGGAGTTATGGTCCAAAAACTTATCATATTTTTTTCTACTTAGTAACTGAAAATTTCGGAGTGTGAATATTTGGAGCAATGTGAAAGTACGCAGTATAATAGGGACCCACAACTATTGTAATGTGTATATAAAATACATAATATGGCTCATATATTTTGGAAACGTAGGCATGAATACATACCAACGTTCTTATATGTATACTAGCTGACCCAGCGAACTTCGTACCGCCCTAAAAAAATAGGGGTTGTCCAGCGGACAAAATTGTGAATCTAAACCATTCTCAGATCCCCTTGAACACACACAAAAAATTTCATCAAAATCGGTCCAGTCGTTTAAGAGAAGTTCAGTGACATACACACTCACAGAAGAATTATATATATAAAGATATAACACATTTGAGTGAAGGGGCCAACGAAAAAGCCATGTGATCCGCTGTGCGTGCTCCGTTTATTCGTTATAATGTGACCAGTATATTTCCGTCTGCAAAGGAATGAGCACGTGTATAATATAATATTTTAACAAGACACCCAATTTCAATACATTTTGTTTAATAAAAAAATGTTTTTTTTTTATTTATTTTTTTTATCAAGGGGTAGTTTTCAAGGGTTGAAAGGGGGTTAAAAATTTGATAATTATTATAGAGAATATAAAATATTACTTACTCTATACTTACATCTTTTTATGTCATACCAAAGTATTTTTTTGTGATTTTTTCAATTTAGGGGTTGTTTGCAAGTGTTGTAAGATTTTCAAGGAGTTGAAAATGATTTTAATATGTGGTAATTATGTTAGAAAATACTTTACAATTTCATCACTTACTATTAGACATGTTTTCTAGCGATAAAATGGCTCAATGTCAATTTTTCCATTAAGTGGTTGTTTACACCCCTTAAAAATAATAGGCGGAGTTCAGATCATTTTTACTTTTGAAGTTAAGGGTAAGATGAGCCTAATTCCAAAATTTCATGCAAATCGGTTTACAGTAAAAAAAATCGGAGGTAAGACCGTATTTTTCGCTTCAATGACTGCACTATATGCCGATTAAGTTTTTCGACCGTCATTTATGTATTTTTTTTGTGAATAATTTTGTCACGTAGGTACCTACGCTCTGGCTGGAACCAAAACCACGAACATACTGGAAACAGATTTACCCAGAATGCCGCGGTTCGCGACGTGAATGATCTCTGAAGGCTGACTGGTGCGATCCATTCGAATATGAGCCTTAGCAGTGCGGCGTAAGGGTAAAAGTGCAATGACATCTACCTACTTGTTTATGACTCATGCGTGCTATATGAATAGTGTACAGTGAGTGTAGTATTAGTGTTTAGTAAAGAGTTGTGTGGAAAGTGGAGAACTGTCAAGCGTAAAATGTAATACATAAGGCCAGGGCAGGGTGCGTATTTACCCTAGGTCCAAAAGGGCCACAGCCCGAGGCGGCAGAAGCCCTTAAAAAGGCATTCGTTCGTTACCTGTTCTTACCTGTTATCGACCTTTTTTTTTGACTTTAAAATAAGCCTCTGCATATTTGTTCCTAATTAAATACATAGTCAGGTCATAAGTATTGTCACACAAGGGCGGGGGATGGTCAAACAAGAAACTTGCTTGATGATCACCTACTCTCAATATCTGTCCGATACTGGGTTTGGCGAACGGGTTAGTGAGTAGCTCAAGTCGCAAGGATCCCCTAATCAAGGCCAGAGGACTATCCTTCACGAGGTTGCCGCCCGTCTTTGGTCAATGTCCTCTATGGGCGCCCCATAGAGGGCCATGCTCCTAATGACCCCAGCATACAGTTTGCGACTACTGGCGCTGGGGCCACCGACATTCGGCAACAGCCTGCTGAGTGCCGCCGCTGCGCTAACCAACCTTGGGGTCAGTTGCCTAAAATGCTCGTCAAAACGCCACTTTGCGTCTAGCACCAACCCCAGGTACTTCAAGGTGGACTCTATGGGCACTCTGGCTTCGTCCACCTTGACATAGGCACCGGCCGGTGGCTTGCCCCTGGAGCTGTAGAACATTATCGCCCTTGTTTTCTCGAACAGGGATCTGTGGAACCCCGCACACCATGCTCCTCACCTTTACTACACCGCTGGCGTCATTGTAAAGAAGCTCTCGGTCGCGCAGGTAGTCCTCTACCACTCGCCTCAGGTACAACGGGACCCCGTGGTGGTACAGGGCTCTTGTGATGCAGCTGAAGGGGACCGTGTTGAAAGCATTCGCTATATCTAGTGATATAGCGAGAACACTCTCCCCCTTCCGCACTGCCTCTTCCGACAACCTCTTGAGGTCCTGCACCGCGTCCACTGTGGACCTACCCCTACGGAAGCCATATTGGCAGGACGCCAGATTTGGTCCGATCTCCTCAAGATGCTGAACGATACGGTCGGCAATAATTCTCTCCAAGAATTTGCCGACCTCGTCCAGCAGCACGACCGGGCGATAACCAGCGGGTTGGTCTGCAGGTCGGCCCTCTTTCCGCAGCAGACAGAGTCTTCCCTTTTTCCACGCCTTGGGGAACACACCGATGTCAAGGCACTCATTGAGCAGCGCCCTGAAGTGCTCACCCAGGTGTTTTAGGGCGATCGGGATGACTCCACGCGGTACTCCATCCGGGCCTTTCTTTTGCCCCGCAGGCCATCCAGAGCCGTCTCCATCTCCGCGTCCGTGATTGGCGGAACCGGCACGGCAACCACGTCCCTGTCCTCCGGTGGTAGCGTCAACAACGGGGACGTGGCAGGTATTTCTCCCGGAAAGAGCTCGGACTCTATTCGTGCCAGGAGGTGCGGGTCCATGTCCTCCAACGGGAGGGACTCCTGACCTATACCCTTCCTGACCCCCTTGTACGGTCTGCCCCATGGGCCCCTGTCGAGCTCACCTATGAACTCTTTCCAGGCCTCGTCTTTAGCCTTGGCGATGGCCACCTTAAGAGTCTCCTTCACCTCCCTGTAGACTCGCCACAGACGTTCCTCTTCCGCTTCGTCTCTCCTCCTCGGCACCCACCGCCTCAGCTCCCCAACCGGGTCCGAGCGAGATAGAAAAGGAAGCAGGCTTGAGCTCTGAGGACAGCGTTAGCAACGAAGATGGCAAGGAAGAAGAAGAAGGAAGAAGGTCCTCCGCAGTCCCTCGTAGCACCATCACTATTAAACAGACCAATCTCCAGCACAAGCAGATAGCGGCGGCCACACTACGCAGGGTGCTGGAGACAAACAACATGACCGTCGCCCTGATTCAGGAACCCTGGATCAGAAATAATAGGATTTGCGGTCTGAACAACATCGGTGGTAAGCTACTTTTAAACACATCTATCGATAAACCAAGGACATGTATTTTTACACCCAAGTCTATAAAAACAACCATGCTTAACCAATTTTGTTCTAGAGACCTCACAGCTGTGACGATCCCCACAGATAACCAAACAGTCCTGGTACTAGCTTCAGTCTACATGCCGAATGAGGGGGAAATTCCTCCGAGGGAGCTGACCGAGCTGGTACGACACTGCGAGGACCACAAATGGGAGCTGATTGTAGCGGCTGACTGTAAAGCACATCACTCACTGTGGGGAAGTAAGGACACAAACAAAAGAGGTGAGTTATTAACTAAATACTTATTCCAAACAAACCTTAACATCATGAACATTGGGACGGATGATGCAAATACATGATGAAATTCTTGACTTAAACAACATAGAAACAAACGTACAGTTCTACACCTCAGCACTTCTTAAAAGCTACGAACTGACGTGTCCTACCATCGTACCGAAAGGCCTGGGTAAAAGTTCCTGGTGGGGGCCAGAACTTGAACTTGAACTACGTAAGGAACTCAGGACACTTTTCAATCGAGCGAAAAATACCAGAAACAATGAGGACTGGGACAAATATAAAAAAGCACAAAAACACTACAAGAAGCGGATCAGATTCCGGAGTAGGGAAGGATGGCGCGGCTTCTGTAGTAGTGTCAATTAAACAAATCAAGCTGCCAGACTCAAGAAAGCTCTGTCCAAGGACAACTCCAATCTCCTTAGGTCTCTGAAAAGGGAAGACGGCACTTATACAAAAACAGAAGAAGAAGCCAATGCGGTGCTACTGGAAACCCACTTCCCAGGATGCCAACTGGCGCCTGGCTTTGAGTGGTCGACTGAGCACCACAATGCACCAACAACCCAGGAATGGGACCTGGCAAAAACAATAGGAACGGCGGAAAAGATAGAATGGGCTCTAAAAAGCTTTCAACCATTTAAGTCAGCAGGACTAGATGGTATATTCCCGGCGCTACTACAATGGCAACTCGATCAGGCAATTATATACCTACAACCAATCTTTAGGGAATGTCTGGCCTTCAAGTACATACCAAAACCATGGAGGGAGGCAAAAGGTAGTCTTCTTACCGAAACCAGGCAAGGACGACTATACACAAGCCAAATCCTTCAGACCAATAAGCCTAACCTCTTTTCTCTTGAAAACGTTGGAAAGACTGGTAGACCGACACCTTAGGGATGGAGCACTAAGTAAGGCTCCGCTGCACCCTCAACAACATGCCTACAGAAAAGGCAGATCAACAGAGTCGGTACTGCATTCAGTAGTCCACAAAATAGAGCCGGCAATCACAAATAAAACCTCAATATTGGCAGCCTTCATAGACATAGAAGGTGCTTTTGACAAAACGATGTACAACAGCATTAACCACGCCCTTAGAAAACTCCAGTGGATAGTGGATATTCATCATTCTGTTGTGTATTTCAGTAAAAGAACCAAATCAAAAACTCCATTTTCAAGTTGCCGCAAAAACGTTTTTCTAGACAATATGGCGTCTTACTAGTGTGTGTAGTGACGTCACACGACTGATATTAAAACGTCAAACGATACAATGAAATGTCACATTAACCGGAAGTCTACTAACGTGTGACGTCATTTTAGGGTCCGCCAATCCCAAGCGTTTTGGGTCACGTGACAATAAGTAAGAAAACTATTATCTTTTCGTGGGTTTTTAGTAAAATTATGAATATTTTTTTTGTAAAAATAGTAAAACCCCCTGCCAATATTCATTCTAAACACAGATGCTAACAATTGGCACTTTATTTTTAATACTGTCAAATACCCTATTACAACAATTTTGTATTAAAAAAAAGCGAGTGTGCTTATGACCACACATCTGAAGTGAAACTTCTATAGCTCCAATGATCTGAAAATCATAAACTTAACCTGAAGATTTGTTGTTAGAAAAAGAACAGGGAAAAAGTAATTGGGAAAGTGAAGCACGAGCAATTATTTATTGCAGATGAAGTCGGGACCAACAGCTTAGGTGCGGGACACACAGAAAAAACATAAGACGCAGTGCCCTTTTCATACAAAAAGTATAAAAATATCTCGTCGCAAAACATAATAGAAGAGACAGGGGTGACGACGACCTTTATTCATATTGTATCAAACTGACAATCTGACAACTGCATCTTGCGTCTTTACTGTGTGTACCGCGCCTTATACAAATTTTCCGAAGTAGTACAGAGCTTGGAAAAGATGTTTGGTTACCCAATAATGACCAATTACTACGAAGTTTCTTTATTTCTACGATTGCAGACCGGAAGAGTTAAGCACTGGGCTTTAAAGAGCTCGCCGTGCCTACATAAATAAAAATATTACCTATATTTCTTGTTTACTATTATTAACGAAATAAAATATCATCTCCAAGATAACAGTGGTATTGTTTATTTTGGTTGAGTCGCAACCACCAACAGTAGAACGCAATTACAGTCCGACGGTCAGATTAACCAGGGACATAACAGAAAAATATTAAAAGTTGGCTGTATAGATAAGGTATATTTTGTCTTAGTTTAGGAAAAATTATAACAAGAACTGTCAATGTCAATTTGACATTTGCTTAGCTAGACAACAGTACTGACTGTTCTGCGGGCTGCGGTTATTGAATGCGGATAAAAACTTTTTTAACAGATTGCTTAATATCCCGTTGTTTAAAACTTAGGTATATAAAATTACATTTTATTTCATATGTGACAATGTTTTGCCGTTTAAAATAGTTTAAGTCTTCATATTTGTATAATTGGAAGTAGAAGAAGTCATTGCAAGTAAAGGTAAGTGAATGTTTATTTTATTACCTACTTCACGTAACACTTTTACACGTTTACTAAAATGTTATTAGATTAGAGACAGTCCTCACGCATTTCAAGAACTTAGCCCACCCATAAGTGTATTAAAAAGGCTATCTACTAAATTCCTACCAATAAATAATTTACTGTTTGTTTTCATAAATAAATGCCTAAATTGTAAAAAATAGGGAATTACTCAAATTGTAATTTATATTTACTGATTCTATATCATAACAATACACACAACTTAGCCTGACTTATCATTGAGATATTTAACAATTATTTTACATTATTAGGCAAAGTTTCCTTTGCATGCCACTTTCAAGGTAATATGAATTAGTATTTTAATAACTATATAATTTGAAACCTCAGTTAGGGTATTTATGAAGTACTAGCTACCTAGCTTTTGTATTGCAATACCATTTAATGTAAACAACAATTTGCTGAGCATTATTATTTCAAGGATAATGAAGATATCTATGGGCTAATATGTTTTATAAATACAATTATTTTAATAATTTTAAAACTTCTGTATGTTTGATTTTGTTTTGACACATGCTTCAACCTGCTTTTAATAAGCTAAGGAATATAAAAAATAAAATATGGGTGCGTGTACTTAAGTACGCGCGTGAGAAGTTATACTTCTTTTTGGAATTATTAAAAAATAGTTTTTAATTGCATGCAGATAATTAATTACAATAAGATGATAAAAGGATTGGAAAAGGATAGTCAACGCAGTCAATAAGGTTCAGTTTTAATTTGAAAAATTTAATAAATATTCAAAATATTCAATTTAAATCACTACTGAATAAAATTTATTAGCACATATAAATTTCGCATTTGTATAACATTATAACACGTGTTAAGAATATAGAAACTAGAAACATGTGGATAAATATTATAAATATGAAAACAGTGATCAGAGGCGACGAGCGTCCCAACATGTGCGACTAAGAGATCCTATTATTATTTTGTTGGAAGCTTTTTTTCGAGACTTACGAGTAATGTGCGGCTTAGCGGCCGACTTCATGGTGTTACTTTTCTGTTACAGTGTTGCGCGCGCATCTTAAAATTTCACTCTCATCATTTTTTCATAACGCGCCCGCGGCTAACTTCATTATGTTACTTTTGTGTTACAGTGATGCGCGCGCATCTTAAAATTTCACTCTCATAATTTTTTCATAACGCGGCTAAAGAAGTATAACTTCAAAAGGCCAAGTGCGAATCGGACTCACCCATGAAGGGTTCTGTAGCAGCAAGTAACATAATATAAAAGTTCTTGGTGGAACTTTGCATTGTAATGTACAACCTTTAATTTTTTATAGTTGATATAGAATGATAATTCTCTTATTTTAGAAGTTACGGGGGGGGGGGGGGATATTTTACCACTTTGGAAGTTGGAGGAATTTGAAACATCAATATCATTTTTGAAGACCTGTCTATCTATCTATCTAAAAATTTTACGATTCAGTTGTAAGTATGGGGAACTCAAAAATTTTAATGTTTTTTTTTCTATTTTTGTGTGAAAATCTTAATGTTGTTCACAGAATACATCTACTTACCAAGTTTCAACAGTATAGTTCTTATAGTTTTGAAAAAATTGGCTGTGACAGATGGACAGACAGACATGACAAATCCATAAGGGTTCTTTGCCATTTGGCAATGAACCATAAAAAGCACGAAGTATACCCAAGCGTTACAAATAGCATACTCTTAGATTATAAATAACTTTCCAATTTTGTTAAGCCTTTAATTTGATAGAGAGAAACTAAGTACTAATAGTAAAGAAGTATAATCATATCTTTCAATAAAATAAAAAGATATGAACTGATCTAAGATTGAAATTAATTTTCCTTATTGTCGAATAAGCAACATCCAGTTCTAATGTAATTAGACATAACTCTCACAAAGGTACTGGAATATCATGATGAGTTCAACTGGAAAATTGATCTTAATAAGTAGATAATTGCTCAAAATTGCTCATAATAAGCAAAATACTGTAGTAAGTAAAAGCTAAGTCATTATATCAAAGTTGTATATATTATTATTGTAGATAATAGAAAACCAATCTTTGCACTGCAGCTAATTTATTTTAAGCAGTTGGTCAATGTATCACCTGAATCCTAAAAATCACTAAATTAAATAATTAAAAAGAAAGGTATTTTCATTATTCATGTGTTTATCCAAATGTTGATTTTTTCAATAACTTAATTTATAACAGCGAATCAAACAGAATGACTCAAGTGTATATTATTATAAATGTAGTAAAAGCTATTCAAGACTATTATATTTCAAGACTATATGTTTTTTAAGTATTTTGCAGGATGAATTTTACAGAGACCTATCATTATGAGACAATATACCAAAAATAACCCTTAATTGTGCTGTTAGTGCTGATTGAATCGAAAGTAATCAACACACCCACAAATCTGCATTGGCCACCATGGTGAATTAAAAGTTACATTCCCCTTATCTGTATATATTACAGGAGAATACTTATTATATTTAACATTAACCAATGTAATACCCACTTAATTTACTTTAGTAGTAGTTTAAAAATAAGGCCCTTTATTTCATAAAACAAAATTGTATCATTCTATTGCCAAAATGAAATAGCTTGTGTTCTGTGATTTTTATTTATGCTCTGATAACCTTAAAATCTATACAGTAAATGAAATACGAGAGGCAATTGTAGTCTGTGATGTAACTGAAACATTCAGATGTTCATTATCCAGCTCCTAATATTGATAGACAACAGGGTTGTCAAAAAATAATAATATTTAATTTATAATTTTTATTATTTTTAAAGCATGTAACTGCTTGATGTTTAAATCTAAAAAAATATAACTAGAAAAAAATCCACGCGGACCAGGCAGCAGACGGGACTTGAACCCGCACCCTTCGCAATCCGGGCGAATGCACTGACCAATTATGCTTTTCAACGCGGCCCTCACGGACCGCGTTGAAATTCTTCTAGGCATTCTTAAGCTGCAAGGCAGCGCCATCTCTTCTCATTATAGGTAATCTACAATGTCAAATGAATACTTTTACAAGTATTAAACATTTGAAACCGTCCGTGAGGGCCGCGGTAGCATAATTGGTCAGTGCATTCGCCCGGATTGCGAAGGGTGCTGGTTCAAGTCCCGTCTGCTGCCTGGTCCGCGTGGATTTTTTTCTAGTTATATTTTTTTAGATTTAAACATCAAGCAGTCATGCTTTAAAAATAATAAAAATTATAACTTTAATTGCTATTTCTTCTTTCAAATGTTTAATACTTGTAAAAGTATTCATTTGTCATTGTGGATTACCTATAATGCGAAGAGATGGCGTTGCCTTGCAGCTTAAAAATGGCTAGAAGAATTTCAACGCGGTCCGTGAGGGCGGCGGTAGCATAATTGGTCAGTGCATTCGCCCGGATTGCGAAGGGTGCGGGTTCAAGTCCCGTCTGCTGCCTGGTCCGCGTGGAATTTTTTCTAGTTATATTTTTTAGATTTAAACATCAAGCAGTTACATGCTTTAAAAATAATAAAACTTATAACTTTAATTGCTATTTCTTCTTTCAAATGTTTAATACTTGTAAAAGTATTCATTTGACTTTGTGGATTACCTATAATGCGAAGAGATGGCGCTGCCTTGCAGCTTAAGAATGGCTAGAAGAATTTCAACGCGGTCCGTGAGGGCCGCGGTAGCATAATTGGTCAGTGCATTCGCCCGGGTTGCGAAGGGTGCGGGTTCAAGTCCCGTCTGCTGCCTGGTCCGCGCGGAATTTTTTCTAGTTATATTTTTTTAGATTTAAACATCAAGCAGTTACATGCTTTAAAAATAATAAAAATTGTAACTTTAATTGTTATTTCTTCTTTCAAATGTTTAATACTTGTAAAAGTATTCATTTGACATTGTGGATTACCTATAATGCGAAGAGATGGCGTTGCCTTGCAGCTTAAAAATGGCTAGAAGAATTTCAACGCGGTCCGTGAGGGCGGCGGTAGCATAATTGGTCAGTGCATTCGCCCGGATTGCGAAGGGTGCGGGTTCAAGTCCCGTCTACTGCCTGGTCCGCGTGGAATTTTTTCTAGTTATATTTTTTTAGATTTAAACATCAAGCAGTTACATGCTTTAAAAATAATAACAATTATAACTTTAATTGCTATTTCTTCTTTCAAATGTTTAATACTTGTAAAAGTATTCATTTGACATTGTGGATTACCTATAATGCGAAGAGATGGCGCTGCCTTGCAGCTTAAGAATAGCTAGAAGAATTTCAACGCGGTCCGTGAGGGCCGCGGTAGCATAATTGGTCAGTGCATTCGCCCGGATTGCGAAGCACCCTTCGCAATCCGGGCGAATGCACTGACCAGGCACAGGGCATACGGCCAGGCAGCAGACGGGAGTCGAACCCGTACCCTCCTACTTTACCTACAATGCGAAGCGATGGCATGGCCTTGCAGCCTATGAAATACCAGAACAAATTCGACACGCCCATTAAAGGCCGCGGTAACAGAATTGGTTGGCGGGTTCAAGTCCCGTCTGCTGCCTGGTCCGCGTGGAATTTTTTCTAGTAATATTTATTTTTTTAGCATTAACCTGCTAAATGTTTAAATCTAAAGAAAATATTTTTAGAAAAAATCCAGTGGCCAGGCAGCAGACGGAACTCGAACCCGCCAACCAATTATGTTACCGCGGCCTTAATGGGCGTGTCGAATTTGTTCTGGTATTTCATAGGCTGCAAGGCCATGCCATCGCTTCGCATTGTAGGTAAAGTAGGAGGGTACGGGTTCGACTCCCGTCTGCTGCCTGGCCGTATGAATTTTTTTCGAGTAAAATTTTCTTTTAATTTTTTAACAAAGGACAATGGCGAAATATTTGTTGAAGTAAATCTTTAGCGTCTATAGATGGGTAGTTCTACAAAGTAAGGAATTTTCGACAGCTCAGCTAAAATGTCATGAAAAAATTGTTACAACCAAGTTTATTTTCATAACATATTG